GATCAATCATGCTATCTTTGAGTTGTTGATCTTACCGGGGTATTTTCTAAGATAAGCTAACTCTTTTGAGATATTCTAGGACTTGGTACGAATTTGAACCATGGGAGATGAGAGGACGTTCTCAAAACCCAAGTTCATCTCGACCTAAAAGTCCCCAACAATATGATTATGTATATATATATATGTATGTATGTATATGTGTGTATGTATACAATATGTTTCTTATTTTTATATGTACATATTGTTTTTACGGCAAAACATGATTTTCTCTATTAATTTTGAATTTTTTATGTTTTAATATTTTCAAGCTTACAAATCATGTATTTTATTTAAAATATGATAAATATAGACAACTACAAAACCAATTTGAAGTTCAAAAAGAAAATAACTAATATCAAAATACATTAATATATTAATATGGGTAAACTAGGTCCTTAATTTATCACCTCAATGAAAATTAGGTACCTAAACTATTTTTTTCCAGAAAAATCAGTCATTTTATTATAAAAATCTACCAGTTACATCCCTAATATTATATTCGAAGCTACTATATTCAATTTTCCGTCAATTTAAGTCATGTTACTTGCATGTGATACACATTGGAGAGTAGATTGATAGTTTTTCATAAAGAAATAGTGTATGGAGTTAACTTTGAAGGGTAAATTGGTAGTTTTTCAAAAGAAATTGTGTAAGTTAACTTCGGAGGGTAAATTAGACGTTAAATTCACAACCTATATGAAATGTTATGGGCTTATAGGCGAAAAATAACGGTATTACACTTTAAAGTGTGTTCAGTGGCTTAAGTTGACGAAAAATTGGATAAAATAGTTTTGAATATAATGGTAGGGATGAAATTAGCAATTTTAATGAATTTAGGTCTTATTTTATCAAAAAAATAATTCAGGGACCTAATTTTTAATAAGATGATAGTTCAGGAACTAAATTAGTACTTCACCCTATTAATATTAAAGGTTAGAGATTTGAAGAAAAAAACTGAAAAGATTCTTATGAATCAATATCACTATCCTTCTCTGCATCATTTACTAAAACCGTTATCTCACTAATGCCTATTCTAGTAAACCCACCAAATAAGGCGTGATCTCAAAATACCGCGGTGGCTAAAAATTAACCGCATCCAAAATCTCATTTTCAATAAAATTGCCTCATAAAATTTTCAAGCACCGTCTCCCTGCCATGCATAGACCCCATCCCCTATACCAAACAAACATCTTACAAACACACAAGCCCGTCGAGAAAGACGAATGATGCATGCTAAGACACGACCAAATTAAGGGAAAACACATCACCCCCGAAGTCCAAGACACACATGAGACGTGAGCGCTGCCAAACTCTGGAACCCTACCCAACAATTTTGATAGAAATTAAAAAAATGAAAAGTAATGAAAAATGTTTGAAAACTTTGAGTTTTAACGATAAAGGACAAAATAAAGGGTAAAGTGAATAGTATTAGGATTGACTTTTTAGTATAAAAATGTGGTTTTTCATTAAAATGAACAGTACCGAAAACTTTTCGTTAAAGTTCCAATTTAAAAAATGGTACGATTGTCTAAAAACGTTAGCATACATACAAACAATACAAAAGTAAACGAAGTTAGATTTGTCTACAAATATGAATGTACAGATTAATACACCTGGTACTACTACATTGTACATGGCTCATGCACCTTTCATTTCATACTTTAATGCGTGAACCTAGGAAAATCACAGTTTGATACTTCACATTGTACCAAATTCGGGTATTGACATACTAATCCGAGTGGGTCACATCTCTATTTCAGAAGTGCTATAATGCCGTCTTTCAAATATCGTTTCACCTCCATTTGAACTTGAAACTTCTTACATACAAGAAAAGACAAGGAGTAATGTTATACTTATCACTTAGTTGTACCATCTCTCTAATAAAGGTAGGATCCGCCAGTATCTGTTGGTCCCATCTCTATTAGAGAGATAGTAAAAATAAGTAGTAAGTATAGCATTTTTGAAAGACAAGTATCACAAAATTATAGTATTAACTTGAAAAATAAGGTTCTATATTTCTTGTCTGGAGAGTTGTGATTATGGGGTTTTTTATTTTATTTTTATTTGAACCTTGTGGTTAAGTTTTTGTTGTTTGGGGATGGAAGCAAATGTTGGAGGACTTCCAAATTCCAATACAAACTAGAAGTGAATTTGTGAGTGTAGCTTCAAAGTGAAGTCCACGTATGAAACGATGTGTGACAGCGTCAAAGTGAAGTCCATCGCTTCTACAACACGTAATCTTTAGCTTCAAAGTGAAGTCCACGTATGAAACGATGTGTGACAGCGTCAAAGTGAAGTCCATCGCTTCTACAACACGTAATCTTTCTGAGTCCATCGCTTCTACAACATGTAATCTTTCTTTCAGAAAGATTACGTGTTGTAGAAGCGATGGACTTCACTTTGACGCTGTCACAGTATACATAGGAAAATGATATAGTCAACTCTTTTATCTTACTATAATCTCGTACAACATTTTAACTCTTAATACAGCTTTGTTTAATTATGTATGCCGTTTTTATTTTATTTATTCAATTTAACAATTAAAAATAAAAAAAATGTGTGATAAAAATAGTACGTGAAAATCACCGTACTCATTTTTTTGATATTTGTTTGTTGACATATTAAGCTTAACTTAACTACAGTTACGTTTAGTACACAATATATTACACAATTATCCTAAATAATGCAGTCAAATTTTGCTCGGCTGTCAACAAAAACTTATCTCTACTCGATTGTAATATCATTTCTTTTCATCCTCTCATAAGTCTCATGTGACAATGTGATTAGTACTTATTATGAGAGCCAAGATTATGTATACACTTGCTAGATGTAGGGTTATTATCTACCAATAAATGCATGGAGCTACAAACGTCTGAAACTTCAACTCGGGTTCGAGCTCCTACTAATGTTTTTTTTAAAGCCACTAACTTCTAATTTGGCGTACCATTTGATTAAGGGCTGATTTAGCATTGCTGAAATGATTTTAAAAGTAGTTTTTAAAAAAAGTTAGGGTTAAAATTGTGTTTGGCAAATGAAAAAAAAAGTGATTTTTGTTAAAATCATGGGTAAAAAATAGCAGAAAGCAGAAGCAGCTCTACCCCTGCTTCTAAAAATAACATTTTTTTTTCACAGCACAACAACCCCAAGCTACCTCTAAGAGGCAAAAAAACGTTGCCTCATGTAGTATTAGGACTGTCAAAAAAAAAAAAAAAAACGATTAATTAATTTATCATCAATGTAATGTGAAATGCCCCTACATTTGGACGCTGAATGGTGAATGGAAGTAGAGGGGCAGGTTGGAAATTCCAACTTGGAATGGCTCATTGCTTTGCGTGATGAAGCCAAATTGGCCTTTGGGCAACTCCAAGAATCCAAATTCCACTCCACACGCATATCCATCTATCCTTTTCTTTCCTTGTAATATATCATCATATGCATGAACCCTGCGCCGCAATTGGTGATATCTTGTCCCTCTCAAACTGTCGTCACTCCTTACATAATTATTGATTGCGCCCTTCATCCAATCCAATTATATAGTCCAATCCAGTCCAATTCAATCCAAACCTAATCAACCATGAAGCCAAATGCAAACAACTGAGCTATATCACTAGTCTCATTTTCTCCGCACCAACTTAAAAGCTTATCCACATGTTATTAATCATGAATAATCCTAATTAATATATATATATATATATATATATACGGGGTATATAAACCCTAAGACCATCTTCAACCCTGGGCTAAAAGCCAAATTACCCCCCCAAACACTCTCCAATCCATGCTAAAATTTTAGGCTAAATGCCAAATGCTATTTCTGGGCCAAATACCCCCCAGCTTTCCCCCCGGGCTAAATGCGAAATGTTTATCGGAATTTAAATTTTTTTAGATTAAAATGTTCATAAAATTAATTTACAATAATCTACATATTTATTTTTTAAAAAAAAATTGATTTAAGAAAAAAATTTAGGCTAATTTCATTCTTTAATAATTCCGGGCTAAAATTTTAGAGTAGAAGGGTTGGAGCAGAAAAGATGTTTCTGGGCTAAAAGCTAAATTTTCCGGGCTAAAAAATTTGGCTTTTAGCCCAAGGGTTGGAGATGGTCTAAGGTGGAGCTGATGGGAACATGTCATCACCTTGAATATGTCATGTTGGAAGTTATTTGTTTGAAAAATGAATTTAAAGTTTAAAAGAGAAATCTCTCAGAGCGCTAGTAGAGTTTGGTTGATAAGACGACAGTATAATAAATTGTACACCAAACAATCAATTGATTTTCTGAAAGTTTTGCTAGTTTGGGTTAATTGTCTTATGTGTAATTGACCTAAAATAAATATGCGAAACGGAGTAAGGTTATGAAGATCTGAACTTGGCTGCTGCAAATTTAGCAGCAGCTACTGTTTACACCCAATTCCAACTGGACACAGGTCTAAGTTTTGATTTTTTAATCAAAACTTGAACACGTATCTAGTCGGAATTGGATATAAGCAGCAACTATTGCTGAATTCTTCAGCAGCGAAGTTAAATCCGGATATCAAATTCCTTGATATAAATGTCCATCAATAGTTCGTTCTAATGGTGTAGAGCACCAAATGTGACAGTAGCCCAGCACCAACACTGCTCAATCCCATGGAGGTGGCAATGAAACGGCAAGTCGTTCAGATTCAACAACAAAGCGCAGTAAAATAGAAATATTGCCTGATGGGAGCTTACATAGCAGTCAACTTAATGTAACAAATACGAAGCAAACACGTGCAGATCCACTAAATATAACCGATGTAAACGTGTCATATTATGATTGGACTCTCATGTCGAACAAAGGCATCTTTGAAGTTGACGAGGCAGAAATGATTAATTAAGGAAGAAAAACGTGGTTAGAGAAAGCAGACCAGAGGCTTTAGAGAGAGAAACTCGTTGGCTTTGAGGCTTATATAAGACAGAGAGCAGCTCAACAACGAAATACAAGAGAGCCAAACACCACAGAGAGAGAGAGAGAGAGAGCAAACCCAGAAGGGTATTTCTGAAAGCAGGTAATTCAGATTAGAGATCCAGGATTTTCTCGTTGTTTTTAGCTTATAAAGTTCTAAGCTTTTTCTTCCTTTTTTTGTTTTGTTCCCTCAGAGGCTGTTTATTTAAGCCTTTATTTCTTTAAACAACCTTGTATATGTTTTTCTGTTTTTTTTTTTTCCTTGTTGATTTGTAGAATTAATCTGCCTGTTCTGTGATTTTGATAAGAAACAAGTTGGGGTTTTCCGAATTTTTTTTCATTTGTGACTAGATCTAAATGGCAACATCCATAGATCTTTACAGCAGCAGCACAATGACATCAGATCTATCAGATCCCTCGAGGGAAGATCAGCTCATGAAAGCACTTATGCCTTATATGAAAAGTGCTTCTTCAACATCCCCTTCCACTTCTTACACTTACCCTCCTCAGAACAACCAAAACTTCAACTTGTACCCTGACTTCTGCTCAGCACCTATGATTTCACAAGCAGGTGCTATAGGGCTTAACCAACTTACCCCATCTCAAATTCTTCAAATCCAATCCCAAATGATCCTCCAACAACACCAGCAAAAACAACAGATTTCTGCTTTTGCTTCCTCACCTGCTCACACCCTTAAGCTGCTTCGTCCAAAAGCAGTTCCAATGAAGCAAGCTGGCACTCCCTCCAAACCCACAAAGCTCTACAGAGGAGTGAGGCAGAGGCATTGGGGCAAATGGGTTGCTGAGATTAGACTTCCCAGGAACCGAACCCGGCTTTGGCTTGGTACATTTGACACCGCTGAAGAAGCTGCTTTGGCTTATGATAAAGCTGCTTTTAAGCTTAGGGGAGACTTTGCTCGCCTCAATTTCCCCCATCTCAGGCACCAGGGAGCCCTTGTCTGCGGCGACTTTGGCCACTACAAGCCCCTGCATTCCTCTGTCGATGCGAAGCTCCAGGCAATATGCCAGAGCTTGGGTGCTAATTCGACGAAACAGGGGAATACAGGGGAGCCCTGTCCTGTGGCAGAGACAAAGCCAGTGGTATCAGCTCCTTTAGAGGCTAAGATGGATGATTCATTCAAAAGTGAATTGAAAAGCGAATCGGAGGCCTTTTCTTCGTCGTCATATTCGCCTTCTCGGTCTGATGAGTCATCTTCGCCGGAATCCGACATTACCTTCTTAGATTTCTCGGATTCTCAGTGGGACGAGGCTGAGAATTTTGGATTGGAGAAGTACCCTTCAGTGGAGATTGATTGGTCTGCTATCTAAAGCCGTGGTGATGCTGTAATATTTGTGTTTAGTTTGAGTTTTAGCGTTATAGGTCGAGTTGGGGGCAGCTTCTGCAATGAATTTTTGATATTGGCAGAGGATTTGCTCACTCATATTAGTCCTTAGGATTATGAGTCTGTAATATGTAATGATTTCTCTATTTCGGTCTGCTGGTAATATTTTTTCCTTGCACGACCCAGGAGATTTCTGTTTATGTGTGTAATTAATCAGTTTCTTGGAATCTATATTTAGTTGTACTTTTTCTATATTTTGTGTGTGTCACATGGTGACCATGCGATGCTGCTTGATTCCCATCATGTGGAAGTGCAATTTTAAGAAGCGGTTCTAAATAAGTTCTGAATGCTCTTTATCTGAAACGTAGGTTTCTTTCTCTTGTTAACGGGTGCAACCTCAATACTCGAAAGGATTTGTTTCTTCAAATTTCACCTATTTATTTCACCTTGTTATTGTACTTTTTCCGCTTTTTAACTAGACAATCATGTATACATTATTTTTGTTTTTCAAAATGGAATAGTGAATGAGGAGAAAAGAGAAAAAATTACGGATGATGCTGAGCAAAAATTACGTTGACACCGCAAACGATAGCCGCCCAAAAAAGCATTGAAAACTTCATGGTGATCATGCTAGAGAGAATTTTTAGTGTATTCAGTTGGGCAACATTTCCCGTTTGTATAAAAAAGGGTTTAGGGTGTTTTGTGAGACCTCGATTGTTATAAACCACTATTTTTAAGATATGTTGAAGAAAGAATTGCCAACTTAGAAGTAAGAGATGAACTTTTCGAGAAGAAAACTTATTCATTCCAATTCTCATGAAATGGTTTGAAGGGAGAAGTTTTTTCATGTCCAACCCCCTTCTAATCCTCTCACAGTAAAAAATTATTCTCCCGTACGTTCAATCCTTTATACTATTATACGAAATGAGACCTAATTGTAGTAGCCACTCAACTTATACTTTTGTAACTCAAAATATTTGTCAAGCTTATTTTCGTAAAGCGATGCCCTACGAAAACAAACTAAACTATAAATTATAAAGATGAATTTGTATGAAGTCAATTCAGGTTTCTATGAAGATGGCTGTGGCAGCTTCAGCAAATTTAGAACACAAAAGGAGGAGGGTATAAAGGGAGCATCTTGGATCACCCCTCCACTTTATGGGAATCTTATAATCTTCTTATTTGCATTAGCCTTGAATGAGATCGACAAGTGGGAATGGCCATACCATGGCTTACTGCTGCTACTGCTGCTGCTCAGCCCACTTTACTGCCTTATACATTATCTTCTTATCTTTTCATGCCTCAGATAAGATTTGAGGCAACCATATCCCAAAGATTAACGATTAAAAAGAAGAGGGTGAGAAATGTGTATACATTACCTTAATATTCTCTTCTCTCTCTCAGCATGCAAATGTGAAGTTCACACAGCTAAACGTATCGACAAGGAAAGAGACTTCTTAAAAGCCCTATTTATCTGAGAGAGTAACTTACACGAAGCGAATATACAATTATTAAGACTTTTTGTGATAGTGATACAAAGTTTTGTGGTAAATTTTTTATACATATCCTTGAATAATTGACATAGAGAGATACGGAGATAAATGAATCTATGTCATTTATCTCCGTCTCCCTTCTTGAGCCATGAAAATCCTTCCTTTCTTCAAATATTGACCTTAAATTTTGTCCAAAGCATCCAAAACTAAGCTAAAAAGATGTGTGAATGGGAATGAAACTTGCATGTTAAAGCAAAAGAAGATATTAAAGGGATTCATTCGAGGGTGGAAAAAGGTGATGGCTCACGTTGGTTATTCCACTTTACAGGTTCTAATGATGTGGCATTCGTGAGGTTCCTTCAACTGTTACGTAAGCTATGATTCCAATTGTCCTTAATGTAGAATATGTAGAGATACCTTTTGAAGTTTCTAAGGTCTATGTTTAGAGAGAGAGAGAGACTTTTAACATTCATGCCAATTGCCAAATGGAAGGCCATCGTTTTCAATTGCGCAAACAAGAAGGAAGCTAATCATATATCTGTCCAAAAGGAAAATAATAGAGTGGTAGCAAAAGAAAGGAGACCGAGAAAAGATAAAAGGGTTATGCGATCATAGGTTTTTTCTTTAAAGATTATTACTCTTATTGTGAATTTATTTGACGTCTTAGAAACGTTTTTGATGCATGCTTGAAATTTATATAATGAATATCGTTTCTTACAAATATGTATAATATCTTTTTCTACCATCTCTCTACTTCTTTTAGATACAATAACCAACTATCCTAATTCACACTTTGATGACTTACAATGGAGGTTGGAGCTCTCTAAGACCCTTTAAGATCCATACTTGTTCAAGCTTACCATCAATTTGGATGGATAATACGACAACTCCGTCTAGTTTTATTTTATTTTATTTTTTTGTGCGACAACTTGGAAATGAAGTTCGAAGTTGGAGGATCGATGATGGCGGGGTTGCATATCTTGTTATACAAGTCATTATCTTTCAATAGTAGCTTTTGATGTTTTACAGTAGATCTTGGCATAATAGTCATGATGTTGTAGATTGATGAGTCTATTTTATATTACATATTTATTCTATTTTTAGTATTCTTTGGTAATTATTTTGGTGAAATCTTGATACTTTGATTTATATTTTCAATGTATGACATGCAATTTTCTCTTGAGAAAAAAAAAGTGATCAAATGTACAAATTTTGGAGTGGTTTCAATTGAAGGATGTTCGTGTGTAGAGATAGTTCATATCAAAGTTTTATATTTTTCTACCGAGTGGATAATTTATACCGACGAAATAAAGGAGTAGCGTGCAGTGTTGCTGAACTGACGTTTTGGGCTTAACTAGGTTTCTTAGTGTCCATGATGGTATCTTTGGGTTCAAGGCCTTCTGGAAATATGTTCAAGACATCTCAAACTTTAAAAAGAGTCATTTTGGGCCTGATTTGGAGCCTTGATGGTCCAGAAACATGGGGAATTACCAACTGGGCAGATTTCCTTGGTTGAAATGGATCATGATTTTTAGTTATCATTTCGTTATTTTGTTTCCTAGTTTTTTTTAAGACCTTTTCAAGGAAGGCTTTTATTATGTAGTAGTATAAATAAGGCTAATTAGCCATTAGGGTTCTTGACACACTACTTTGGAGAACTCGACTTAGAGAGCTTTTGACGGTTCAAGTTTATTTACAATATGTTTTCTATCCATGTTCTTAATAATATTTTTCTCTATGATTCTGCACAACTAATCCATTTTTGCTAGGGCAAGGCCACGAGCCTTAGCAAGAATACATAGTTTCCTTTCAATTTACTTATGATATTATGCACGTAGGTTTTGAATTATTAATCACCATGTTTAAACTATGCTTAGCTACCATTAGGATATTTAGAAAAGTAATTTGATGCAAGTTTGATTGGAGGGCTATCCCTGAAATTGACGAAGGCTTCTTGTGATTAATAATTGTAACACTTGGGATGAATACCATGTTTTAAGGGTTCATGGTTTTTCAAAAGGTTTTATAAAGCTTAAAGAGTCTTGTATATTTAGATTTGATTTGAATATCACAGATGGGTTGCATGTTTGATATACGTTCTATACTGGGGTTCCAAGTAGAGCATACTTTAGTAAAACATAACCTTCAAAATATGCATGCATAAGTTATAAGTAATTGTAATAACTATGTTAGATTGTTAAGGTAACAGCAGAACCCTAGTGCTTTTACAATTTAATTTTAAAAAAAATCATTTTCTTTTATTTACTTTCTTTTGCCGATTTACTTGGTGCTTTTATTTAAATTCGTTTTTATTATTTTAATTCACAAAATCAACCTTTTTCAAAGTTTTGTTTCAAATTTTAATTAATTAAGATTTATTTCTTACACAAATTAATTAAGATTTGGTTATTCCATTCTACAGGTTCTAATGATGTCGCATTTATGAGGTGCCTTAAATTGTAACGTAAGCTACGATTCCAACCGTCCTTAATCTAGAATATGTAGAGATACCTCTTGAAGTTTCTAAGGTCTATGTTAAGAGAGAGACGTTTAACATCCATGCCAATTGCCAAATGGAAGGCCATCATTTTCAATTGCGCAAACACGATCGGAAGTTAATCATATATGAGGATGCAAATTTTCGCATTCTTTTCCTTTGACGAAAAAGCTCTTGCAAAATAATAACACCTAAGTTCAAGGTCAAGAGTCTCATGCGCCCACGATGAATGGGGGGGGGCTTTGGCCGAAGAATCTCTGATGTCAAAGTTAGAATTTGAGAGAGAAAGTGTTTAGGGAATTTTAGGGTGAGAATGAACTTACATTTTGGTATGAAGATGAGGCCATATATAGGGGTGTGGCCAGCCCTATTTGGAGAAATAGAGATCGGCTACTTATGGTGGTATTTTGAATATAATTGCAAGATATTATGTCAAATAATATCTTACAATTAATTTGGTAATTAATCCCAATTTTAAAAGAATAATTGGGAGTTACCTTGTGGGTGGGGATTTAATGAGGAGTGATGAGAGGGTTTTAAATAAATACCATTTTGATCACCTCTGATCTTGATTGAACAATTATTGTCCGTTGCATGCGCGTGGGTAATTTTGTCTTTTACCCAAAAATCCACGTGTCGCCTCCATAATTTTCTTGATTATTTTTTGCTCCACAAATGCCCCTACACATGTTGGGCTGCTCGTAGGAAAGGGCAGCAGGTGTAGAGATCTTCTTTTGTTTTAGGAAACATAGGATTGTTTCCCACTTTGATGTAGATTCCCTCTTTAATTGGAAATTAGATCATTCTAGGAAAGAGAAATAAATTACTTCTAAAGTCTATTTAAGTCTACCTTAAGTACATGATTAAATTAACTTCAGAGAGAAATTTATTCTACCATACAAGAGAGAGAAAGCTAGAGGATATTTGCTCTTCCTTTCCTAGCAATTTTTTACACTTGCCCATGCAAATGACCGTCTTTCGTTGCTTTCTTTGTCTTCATGCTGCACCAAGGTAAGAAAAAGTTAATTTTCCTTATCTTCTTAATTTTTGGGAGCTTTGGGGCTTGAAATTTGGCTTGATGGGGTTCGAGAAGGTGTGAAAAACGATTGGGGAGCCATGACATGGCTGCTACTGTGGGGTTGGTTGGTGCGATGGCAGCTCGGCATGGTCCAAGGTTTGGGTGCTGCAGTGTGAGACCATGGGAGGCATAGGGGTGCCTATCCCTTTCCTGCTAATTTGGGTCGTGGGGCCTCTTAGGCCGAGA